TGGGCAGACACTAGCTAATAAATATTTTGAGCAAAAGACCAGTCTAACTGATAAATTCCATGCAGTATTTTCAGTAACTATTAAGTTACACTTCTGAGAACTGGGGGAAAGAAAATACTTTGTTATGTGGTTCAGGAATACATGATTTTTAGAGATGAGACTGTCTCCCTTAATCCACAACCACCCATCCCTGACCACCCTCCTAAGTGCCCCACAGAATAATAAGGAATGAAGACACAGATCTTTGGAAATCGGTACCAGTGATGTATCATTAACACATTCCCAGTATTCCAAAGCCACAATAGCATAGACGTGTTGCACTAAATTACTGGTTAGAATGGACAGACTATTTAGACATCAGCCATCAGCCAATTCCAGGATGACCTACGATCCTCCTGAACATTCTAGTACAGGAGTCAGCAAACTTTTTCTGTAAAGGTCCAGATAGTAAATAACTTAGAATTGTGAGAAACACAACCTCTGTCACAACTGCTCAACTCTGCTGTTGTAGTGTGAAAGTAGCCTTAGACAATATGTAACGTGGCTGTATGGGTATGACTACACCGGTACAGGAGTCAGCAAACTTTTTCTGTAAAGGTCCAGATAGTAAATAACTTAGAATTGTGAGCAACACAACCTCTGTCACAACTGCTCAACTCTGCTGTTGTAGTGTGAAAGTAGCCTTAGACAATATGTAACGTGGCTGTATGGGTATGACTATACCTATTCGATTTTATCTACAAAAAGAGGCAGGACAGATTTCGTAGTTTGCAAACCCCTTTTCGACTGGAACATAGCTTCCATAGATTGAGCTGAGTGACCTTTAATGGGTGACAAATAAGGAAGAAAGGATGACATGGTAAAAGACTGATATGGATTTAATGACAAATATTCCATATTGGTTGCTGAACACCAGAATGCTGTCCGAGGAACTATCATTAAATAAAACAACCTGAAAAAAAGGCAATTCTCACATACACAGCACGCACTCACACAAAACCTATTACTTTTAGGATCATTAAATTATTCCCTATTTTACAAACAGCTGTAAAATAACATTACAGTGAAGGAAAATGTGCACAAACTTCAGAAACACAGTGGATTGTCTGTGAACACCAGATCTTTGTACTTTTTCACATATGTACAGCCTCTTGATTGTGAAGAGACCACATGGCTCAAGGGGTTAACGTCTCATCTTGTTGCAACTCAGGGAGATTTAATCAAAACCATTTAACCTGTTTAAACTGCTTTAGGTTTTGCTTAGTAAAGGACAGCAGAGGAAGCCTGCTCTTGACCAAACTCCCCAGGAAACAATTCATATACTTGCCTCTACCATCCTGAATGAGTTGGTGGAAGGAGTCTTCAGATTAACATTTTCAAGGGTGAACCACAGTTAACAGGGTTTGCTGAAGATATACTACTATTCTAAAACTAGATACAAGAAACAACCTTCTGAATACATTTAACCTCACTTAATGTGGGTATGTTCCCTGAAGAATTGTAAGAAAAATGGAATCACATTTTCAATGCACCATGAGAGTGGGGTGTTGGGTTTGAATTGTTTTCTTCTGCTGAGAGATTGCTCATAGGAGAGATACTAATGTTGTGGTTGTCTCTCTTATCCATGGTAATAGAAAGAACAAGAGAAGTAAATGAAGTCCAAAGTTGTCCACTGCCACTAAATTTTTTTACATTAGCTTCAATCTCTACTCCCTGTTAAACCCTTTCTCTGAAGTTGCTAATATGTAACATATTTGATGCAGATGAGACTGTGCATAACGATGGCAGCAAAAGACCAAACAACCCATACAGTGGATAATCAACCCACGAATAATCAAAGTTGGATGAGATTTCATAGGCACAGACTTGAGAGAACTTAAAACAGCTAGAAGAGGTAGATGTGCAGGGGGAAAAAAACCACAAAGGAGTAAGATCACCTACATATTGGCTATATTATTTTCAGTACTTAAACACAGTATTCAGACTACAAGTCAGAATAAATAATGGACATTTTGTATTATTCTTGACTAAAAGAAAATAAAAAAAGAATTAGTGTCTTTCAGAACTGTCTATAGTTTAAAAATCTATTTGCATTTGTGAGTAACAATAAACTTATCAACAGGGCAAGATTAGCAGGCATTACACAAGCCCCAAATTCTCAGGACATATTAAAAACGTGTTTTTATAACGACAAAAACATGCTTCCCAAGAGGTTCTTTGCCAGAACACAACTGATCAAGTATAAATTACTAGCATCCACAAAAACTTTGCTAAAACTGTAAAAACAGTCTTGTAGCTTTTTTTATTTCCCTCTTCAACTGTGTCCAACAGTTTGTGAAGATGCTTCCATGAAAAGTATAGGATAACAATTGCTAGTGAAGAAAACAAGACTGCTTTCCACAACTCTAACTTCTAAAAGCTAACTAAGGGAGAGATTTTCAGCATAGGAAAATGAAATCTATACAAGAGTCATCTAACTAAAGCCCCCTACTAGAAATGGAACATAGCCAGGACACCCTAATTAGGTGACAAAGACCAGCTTTGTCAATAAGGACATCTTTGGCCCTTCTAGGCTACCCTTAAGTTTTCCATCAAGCATAAGAATTTTCAGTGTCCTTATTTCACTATATAAATCATGACAGGTAAAGGAAGCTAGCAGCTGAGCTGGAGAACACAAAAAGTCAGGCCACACCTATTCATACTGTCGCCAGCCTGTCTTCTGGACAGCCTGACACACTCCTGTCCCCAGGCCTTCCCTAACACAGGGGTCATAATACTGATCTACTTCACAAAGATGTGAGAAACAACTAAAAACCATTAAAAAGCATAAAGCACTTTGAAAACACAAAAGTGCTATTTTGGCATCTATATAACACCCAGAAAACATTCATTGCTTGTGCTATTTGGCAATTTTGTGTTTACATCTCTCCCTGACTGTGCCCTCCTGTGTAAAGCCTTGAGATTTCTACTGTGCCTCCACATGTAGGAAAATGAAATTCCTACTTGGACTAGATCCTCATCAATATGGATAGAGGTGGGGGATAGTGGGGGACGGGAGACACAGGCGCAAATGAAGGCAAATGAGACAAAGGAGCCTCACATCCCAACGTGTGAACACTTTGTCTTCCTGAATTTCTCACAGAAAGCCAGCAAAACTCTGAGCTACTTGATTTTTGTAGCAGGTCGCTGGGACAACTGTTTATGGTCTGAGGTTTCCTTGAAACATACCATCAAGCTGACCTGGGAAAGGGACACATAGCTGGGATTGTTCCATTTACCTGCACTTAAATGACCACAAGCGCAACCTGAAATACTTGGTGCAGCAAACACGTGACACAGGGGGCCGGGGGCGGTCATGCATGTAGACGGCCTAGACCCAGCATGAAGCTAGAATATTTTCAAAGAACTAGCAAAGAACCAAGAGCAGGACCAGGAGTTCCCAGATCAAGAACCAGTTATAAGTAAATTTCTAAACCCCAAAGGTTGCTCCTTGAAATGAGGGTCTTTTCTGCCCAGTTTCCCCCGGATGCCTAAAAATAGCAGCTAACTGTGGCTCAGAGAAAGGAAGGGAAGATTACACTAAATATCCTATTATAGGATTGACAAGGTTCCCCTACTTTTCGTGGGAGTACCGCTGATGTGGGGGGACACGGCAAACACCAGCTTACCACCTGGTAGGACCAGGATAGATGTATACCCGCGTCTTATTTTACCCCATAACCCTCACGCCAACCACACCCTCTCCCGATTCCCACAGGTCAGCACAGCCCAACCTACTCTACTCCCCGCCATCCTGTTCCCATCCCCGCCCCCATCTCCCCTTCCTCAGGTCCTCAAAGCGCCGCTGCTCCTGCGCACTCTTCACCTCTCTCACAACGTGTAAAGGAAGTCACAGTCTCAAGCGCATCTCGCTGGGGAGGAGGCAGGCAAAGTGTGGCACCCGGAAAGGACAACTCCTACTCAACCCTCCCCCTCAGGACCCCCTAACCAAAAGGCTCCCCGGCCACTCTCAGATTGTCCCTCCCCCACTTCTTTCTATAGCGTCTGTCCCCAGGACACCCACTCCCCACACGCTCCCAGAGGCAGCCTGCTTCTGCCCAGCCCTAGCACAGGTGCAGCTTCTGGTGCTGCGCGAGGTGCGTTTTGTAGCGGAAGCCTTTGCCGCAGCCGGCGCACTTGTGCGGCTTGTTGCCGGTGTGGATGCGGCGGTGGCGGATGAGGTGCGAGCTCTGGATGAAGCTCTTGCCGCACTCGATGCACGTGTAGGGCTTCTCGCCCGTGTGCGTGCGCTGGTGCTGCGTGAGCGTGGAGAAGTCGCTGAAGCGCTTCTCGCACTGGCCGCAGCGGAAGGGCTTCTCGCCCGTGTGCACGCGCAGGTGGTTCACCAGGTGCGAGTTGCGCCCGAAGCCCTTGCCGCACTCGCGGCACACGTAGGGCCGCTCGCCCGAGTGCGTGCGCTTGTGCGTGAAGAGGTGCGAGCTCACGCTGAAGGTCTCGCCGCACTCGGAGCACATGTAGGGCTTCTCGCCCGTGTGCACGCGCTGGTGCTTCACCAGGTCCGAGCGCCAGCTGAAGCGCTTGCCGCACTCGCCGCAGCCGTGCGGCTTCTCGCCCGTGTGGATGCGCTGGTGGTTGGCCAGGTGCGAGCGGCGCACGAAGCCCTTGCCGCACTCCCCGCAGGCGAAGGGCCGCAGCGCCGCCGCCC